GTACATGAACTTATGTGATGTTTTTAATAGTACAAGGGTGTAAGTGACCAATCTGTAATTGTATCAGGGTCTATTTGACCCTTTTTCTAAAATTTGTCATGTTAACGCGTTGAAGAACGAGATATCATTATTAAAAAGGTACATTTTGCACTTTAAACAAACATTTTCGTCTAATTAAAAATATCGTACTTTATATCAGTGTTACTCCACGACATTGCTACACTTCATTAAGAAGACGCTAGTGCACTTCATGGTAAAAATCATTGCACGTTTTCGTCAACATTAGTTCTCTTTCAACCCAGGTTAGGAATTTATTGATCATTCTTTTATTATTTCTTTTTTACATTTGATAACTTTAGTATTTTACGTTCAATTAAATATACTATGTATTATATTTCATGACGGCGTTAATGTTCTACATTACTGCGTTACTAATCGTAGTCATTGCACTTCCCATCAATATTGTGACATTATCTATTGCATCTGATGCACTGCACGACTCTCTTCCTCAACGCATTCATTCATTATCACATGTTCAACATTTATTGCCCGCATGTTCAATGACCCACAAACCCCAATAGCAAAAAACTTTATTTTCAATTTCAATTTGCACATAGTTATCTTTGCAATATCGGGATTGGAATCCCTAGTGTAAACTTGTTCTCGATTGGAGCTCTGCCAAACATCTTTAACCTTGTCTGAATTCACCCTTCGATGTAAGCAAGTTCGGGTTTAATGCATCAAACATAGAAATTTGGCGCATTACGTTTGTGGTTTAAATTTGCATCAAACACGCCCGTGTAATTAATCATGCGTAGAATCCTTTAAGTCGACAACTTTTATAATCAAATAAAAGAAAAACAATTAGGATTTTTGTATAATTTAGATATTTTGATAAATTTACTTGCACATCTGTTCATGATATTAGGAAAACTGATTTCCAAATTGTTAAATTTGTTCAAAAAATGTTTTGTGCACGAACAATTGTAACATAGGGGAGTTTGATGCATTTTTTAAATAATGGAGTAATGTGCTGAATTTCTATGTTACGAGGGGTTTGATGCATTAAACTTGAGCTCTTCTACTGCACAGCTTAAGAGCCGACTCTCCTAGCAGTGTGCGACCCCCTATTTCTGCTGTGAAATAAGGTTCGCCTGAACAACCATGTCCGGTGGGGCAACCACTATTCCATCCCAAATCCTAAACCGTCCAGGGAAGGAGAGTAGTCGGTGTTTGTGCGTGAATCTGCTTGAAAGAACACCAGAGTGGCTACCTTCTTCTCCACTTCCTCACACCTCTTCGCATCAGCTACCAATTTCGTCTTAGCCAACCGCTAGGCCCGAAGGAAGTCTTCAGGTTCAGTTTTCTTCTTAATCAAAACCTCCGCCTCCACTTCCCATGATGCATTCAAAGTATGCATCCACACACTGCCCTACAAATGAACAAGGAATAAGAGATCAGGCAGCTAAGGAACAAGGAGAAATATTGGACGCTCGATACGTTGCCCATAGGAAGTGTTCAACGGCATGGTCAAACACATCATCAATGCAGGGCGGGGCTGGATTTGGGATGCATAGGAGTGGGCATTGTCTGCCCAAGAGCAGCGGGTTGGGATCCAATAAGGTCTAACCAACACAGGTTTAGGCGGAACCAACAGATTCAGCAGGAAGCACATTTAATACAAGATATGATAGATCTAGGCATTTAATGCAAGTAATGGGCCTATTCAATAAGTGGATGATGAGATTCTTCAGACTATCAAGGGGCGACATGTCATCATCAACAATACCGCCCAAGTAGTATTAATACCCTCATATTTGCTACAATAAGTGATAAATGAAATAGCATTAGTAGCATTGAGTCTCTCCTCTGTAATCCAACATTGTAGCACTCAATAGAGTAATATACTTAGACAATCCACCGCCCGAGAGTGTATTATAAGAGATTAATACAAGACCGAATACATCCTGATACCACCCTTACTTCCCTATCTTTCTACATTGGAATTTGTCACCCACCAGAGGTACCGTGTTGGACCTTCGAGCTGAGGTAGTTAACGCCAAAACAGTCCCTAAAGACTACTCCCTTCGTCCCTTAAAAGTTGGTTAAGTTTGATCGACAAGAGAATTAATAAAGCAAAAATTATGTGATTAAAATTTATGCAAAGGAGAGAAAATTAATTGAAACCACAAATTCTTTACTTAAAAGAGAAAGTGACAAAGTTAGTGGGACAACAAAAAAATTAAAAAAGTTTCAAGGAACGAAAGGAGTATATTTGATAAATATACATCTCAGAGTTGTTTAGAAATTTTGTAAAGGGGAAATTTCCGAAATAAAAGTAAAAATGTTTGGGAACTCTAAAATATGACAGTTATGTTTTTTCTTGTCGAAATGTTTGGGAAAAATATTAATGTCAAAATAATTGCAGTCTTGGGCATTAACATGGGAGTGTTTACATGCATTAATGCTATTATTTCAATCATGGCAGTAACGACTCATATTTCGGGAATAAAAACATAGTACTCCTATTTGGCATTCCATAACATTTTTACTCTTATTTAGGGCAATTTCCCTTTTGTAAATAATACAAAAGCTGGAGAGCGGGAACTTGTGTCGATAAAACATGCACTAAAATCTGTAATGTAAATCAATTCATAAAACTAATGAAATTAAAGCTGATTCAATATAGAAAACCATATGTTACAATCTTCAGACTTTTGCCAATCATTTTTGCTCACCATTCTCTTCCTGACCACTTCCATCACTTTCAACCTTGGCAAGCTCTCTAATATAGAACCCTTATGACCACCACCTTAGAATGTAGACCATCCAAATATCAAATGGAGGACCAGAATTAACAATCTCAACACCAGAGCTGATAGCACCTCAATATAATGTAGATAACACGGTTCGACTGAAACCTAAATCCTAAACCACTGTTAATGCCCCAATTTTTATGAAGCCTAGATAAACCCACCCATAACTGAACCCGAACCCTGCCATTAAGGAATCATGGGGGTCAAATTGTAGAGTTGGTCCCTTGGTAGCCCCGCCAAGTTTGGGGTTTCACTCTACGGTGAGACACTTCAAGTCCACATTTTAGGTGTGGTGGATTTGTTGCCTCTAAACAAGCTTTAACTAAATGTTGATTCAAAGCATGCAAATGGTATAATTCAGTGTGGTAATACAACAAATGTAGGCGATGATCAGAAAACAAACTAAACACAAGAATCTTATCTTTTACAGTAATAAAATAAATCTATGTTTTATCTGAATTTGCTGCTGGGGTTAACTGGCTGCTACGTTACTAAACAAGACCAATTATCTTGAACTGCATGTAATGTTGCGCCAAATCTCTTAGTCGAAAAGCCCTTCATCGTACCAAACATCAACTAAGAAGTCTACCATCTCCTGCATATATATGTGTGTGTAATATATAAAATGTTAGTTTCTTTTCTTTTTAATAAATTGATTTTAACGTGACATTAACATAACAAAAAAACACTAAACTGGTGAAAACACAGAGATCGAATTAAGATATATTGCACTAATGTAAACTATAGTATATGATAAGATATATGCTTCTTTAAATTCTTACAGATAAGGGGATTCGCTCAGAGAAAGGCTCATTAGTTGCAAGCAAGTCCTCATAGTTCAGTGACCAGCTGCAACCAAAATTAAATGAGGCTGGGTCATTAAAAACAATTGCAACAAAAATGTTAAAATTAAAATTGACTTATTGTTAAGGAATAATTGACACCTTTCCAATACTTCACTTTTACACTCATCCTTGCAAATTTCGATTGTTGAACTCAGACCAGTGTAAACTAAGATCTTATACGGAGTATATTATTTTACTCTTTCATATTAAATTGGTGTTAGACCAAAAATTCAGTAATCTTAAAATAACAAGTTATAGTAATACAAAAGTATTTCATATCTTTAAACACCATGAAAGGTAATTAATTAACTGAAGTGCCACGGAGATTGTTGTTGTTGATAACAGAAAAGGGCTTGAACATGACTTGATTTTTGAGTCTCACCGTTTCTGGACCAATTAGGCTTAAGAACTTCTGCTAGCATCGTAGCATTATTGTTTATTTCTTAAATAATGAATACCTTATGATTGGATCTTTCGCCATCTTATCTGACTTCTTTGAAGTGTCCCCAGTCCATTTCCTTCGGCTTTCCTCCCAAGCAAGAGCAGCTGGAATACATAAACATGTAGCAGAAGGAGACGCTTGACTTAATATCCAAATATAATTGAGTATTTACAGTGGTCAAAAGCTAATGCGGAAACCACAAGTCAGGCATTAGTCGCTGGCTGACCGTAATTGATAAATACAGGAGACTCATTTGGAACACTTTCAGAAGCCCTCTTGGTTTCTCTATCAGTTTTGCATCCTTCCACCGGTCTCTTATCCTTTGATTTGGGAATTCCAGTATTTATCTCCATCTTCTTTCTTATGAAAAATCATTACCCTTTGTAACACGAGAGGGTCTCTCAACCAAAGTGCTCTAAGAGTCCTCAGTGATGCAATAAAAGCTGTCTAAAACAAACAAAAATCAAAGATCTGAGATAATAAGAAATCTATTCAAAACTAAGATGCATTATACCTAATGGCAGACAATAATACTTTAAAAAAGCTTAAAAATATCAACCTCAATGTAGTAGATACAAAGCGAAAATTACTACGCGGATTGGGTAAATAAGAATTCGCCTTAGTAACAATGTATACTTCCCTATTTTATTAGCCAAGGAGACTCTTAGGTGCGAGAAGAAACATGACTCACCCAAAGAAAAAAGAAACATTGGCCCTGTTCGGTTGCAAGTACTGGATTTATTCTGCTTATCAAAAGAATAGGTATTTTCTCACTTCTTTTGGCAAAAATGGCAGTTACCAATTGTTTTTAGCCATTTAAGCCAAATAACCTCTTACCTAACAGACTTAGTAACTTACTTCTCCTGTTCTTTCTTTAATTAATCTAATTTTCGGTAGTCGGTCCATCCAAGGGAATGTGCCGATACCCTAAACTGCATCGAGAACGAACCAGTATTGGATATGTAGTAGACTAACCTCCGAGGTTCAATGAACGAACCAGTAAATCAAAGATTACTTTGTTCGAACTCAGATATTAAAATTATAGCCCAGAGATCATTAAATAAGTTACTAAAGAGAACATCAACATTGCTGAAAGGAAAAAAAACTCCTCTTTCCATCAATGCAAACCCTACATGGTACATATAACGTTTTGACCATTCATCAATTCAATACAACAACAATGTCATAAATTTACAGCCTTTCACAGGAAAGACTAAGATTACTGATTTAATTTATACTTCTACCAATCAAAACTTTCCTTTAAATTCACCACCTCAAGGGGCACTCCACTTTTGGACTATAAATTTGGAAATCAATTAAGCTAACACAACACTCTGAAACCAAATTAAGCTCAATGGTGATGTTACAGAGGGCCAATAATATCATACGGAACTACTTGAATGAGCGTAAATTTGAGGAATTTAGACATTGCAAAGAGAAGCAGATATCCAGAATAAAAAATATAAATTTCACAGGGAAATACTTCTAACTACTATTGCTATTCTATAACAACGAAGTAAAAAAAGAAAAAAGAAGGGAAAAGAAAAAACTTATGAAAGAGAAAGGCAGGAAGTGAGTAGTACCTTGTAGTGTCCGAAAATGAGAGAAGAGAAAAGAAAGGTAAGGCTGAGGAAAGGGGTATATATAGTGCGTATTTCTCGAGTATTGAACATTTTTTGCGCTCTGTTTCTTTGGCGTTATCCGCAAGTTGGCATGACAGCGATTTATGATGCAGCAATTTATGGGTGGGAAGTTGTTTTTGGGACGGAGGGAGTATAAAATTTAGGATCATATACTCATCATGTTTGTGAAGAGTTTTTTTGGACTATGAATTCAATTCACAGACAAAATAAGAGTGCAAAAGAGATATTTTGCCTGTGAACGGGATTCACAGACAAAAAAGAACCTTAAGCAACAAACATGGTGGATACAAAAGTGAGTATAAGGGTGGGTACAAACAGCTTTTTATATATATATAAAGTATAAACCATCTAACATTTGTCAATTAAAACGTTTTTTTAGTTTCGGAAAACTGTCAATTTGGTTCTGGTATTATCACGAAAATGTCAATTAGGTCTTCGTGCTTTTTAAAAAATCAATCAAATCCCCGAACTCTGTAAAAATGATCATTTGAGCCCATTTGCAGGTTACCCGCTGACGTGGCGCACATGTGACGGTTCACATGTGCGCCATGTCATCAACAAATGAATGACGAGAGTTCCACATGCACGCCACGTTAGCAAAGTCACTGCGGATTGGGATGCCACATGTGTGCCACGTCAGCGGGTGCCCTACTGACATGACAAGTAACATGCAAATGGACTCCATTGATTTTTTTACAAAGTTCATGGATTTAGGATATGTTTGGCACAACTAACTGAAAAGATATTTTTACAGACTTTTTAGTAACTGTTAGCTTTTAGTGACTGAAAAGATCTTAAAAGTAAAAGGTAGTAGTTGTTTGGTAAAAAGCTGACTGTTTGGTTTAGTTCTGTTTGGTATAGAAGCTGTTGGGGCTAATTAATGCTAAAAGCCACAGACTTTTTTCAGATGCTACTCCCTGTAGCATCTCAAAAAAGAGCTTTTTATTTTTTGAGAAGCTCTTAAATTTGTCATACCAAACATACAACCAGGGGCGGACCGTAGTACAGACCCAAGGGGGGGTCGCCCCCCAACAACAAAATTTTTTAATGTATACATATTATAAAAAAAAAAAATCGCCCTCCCAAAAAATATTTTGTTTAAGTTACCGCCATCTCAAGACAAACTTCCTGGGTCCGCCCCTGCATACAACTAGGAGCTTTTAAAGACTTTTTAAATAATACAAAAGCTAGAAGACATGGACTTTTGCCGGCCAAACAAAGCCTTAATTGATTTTTTTAAAAGTACAATAATCTAATTTTTTTATTCATGATAGTACGAGGACCAAATTGACGATTTTCTCTAGTTTTGGTGCAAATAAAATACATCTCTTATTCGAAATTTGGAAAACTCATTTTTTTAACGGTTGCACCACATATACTCCGTAGAAGAAGAAAGCGCTAACAAAACTATACGGAATGGAAATTGAGTCGAGTATATTGAAGGTTGTTAATATCTCGATTTAATGTGTAAAATTGAATTGCAAGTAAAATCGTAAACTTATAAAATTATAAAAATTGTACGGAGTAATAGAGTCATAGAGAATCGTAAAATCATACGTAGTATAAAACTGTAGTAAAATCATAATAAGAATTTTTAATGAAATTCGTTCAAAACTATTGAATTAATTATCAGAAAATGATAATTATGAAAGTGATGGATATTGTGCTATTTGTTTATTTTTATATTTTACATATATTTAACGTTATTATTGACTTTATTCACATTATAAAAGTAGTTTATGAATCTTGTTTATAAACTACTTATATGGAGTAATTATTAATATATATGTTTGCTAGAATCTTAAAGATTTATGTTTCGACTTAGGCTTTGTTTGCAAGTGATTGTGCTTAAACAAAAGTACTTTTTGGGAAAAAAATGATTAGTAGTAAAAATTGGTAGTGTTTGGTAAAATAAGTGCTTTTTGTGTAATAGAAAAAGTAAATAATAGATTCTACACGGAAGCCAAGAAAAGTAAAAGTTGGTAATGTTTAATAAAATATGTATTTTTTTCCTTTAAAAAGGCCACAATCACTTAAATAAATTAAATTAAGTGATTGCAAACATTACTTTTATCAATTCGATTGAAAAATATGATTTTGACACATACTCCGTATTAATTTAGTGTAATCATTCAACACATACGATGTTTTCTTTTGGACTGAAATTTGCTGGTCTGATCTGGTCTGGTCTGATCTGGTCTGGTCTGGTCTGTTTAAGTCTGGTCTGATCTGATCTGCTCTGAACTGGTCTGGTCTGGTAAACGTCTGGTCTCTGTGTATTTTATAACAATCCAAGTCTGGTCTGGTCTGGTCTGTTTAATTCTGGTCTGATCTGGTCTGTTTAAGTCTGGTCTGGTCTGGTCTGGGACTGAAAACAGTCTAAAAGAAAACATCCTTAGAAGTTGTTCTCTTCACCTGATCTGAATGTTTCTGATCTGAATTTTTTAAGTTCTGATCTGATCTGAATTTTTCTGATCTGATCTGATCTGATCTGAATCTTGCTGATCTGAATCTTTCTGATCTGATCTGAATGTTCCTGATCTGACTTGAATGTTCCTGATCTGATCTGAATGTTTCTGATCTGATCTGAATCCTTCTGATCTGATCTGAATCCTTCTGATCTGATCTGATTTGAATATTTCTAAAATTAAAATTATAATTTTAATTTTAATTATTACAATTAGAACTGTAATTACACATATATAATTTAAATATAATAATAATTATAATTATAATCATAATTAAAAAAAAGTTATAATTATAGTTATAATCATAATTATAATAGGTATAATTATTATTATTATTATACGTATTACACTAGTTATAATATAGCTATAATTACAGGAAGTGGTTCAGCTCAGCTGGTCGCCGACTCACTCTCCCTTATGGGAGGTCTCGGATTCGAAATTCAATGGGGTGAGTTTCAACCTAGTTTACTTCAGGCCCCCCGGACCACCTCCCACAGACGCCACCTGGAGTAAACAAAAAAAGCTATAATTATAATTGTAATTATATTTTTAGTTATAATTATTTCTATAATTATAATTTTAATTATAATTATAATATTTATTTCTATAATTGTAATTGTAATTATTCCGTGTAATATAATAATAACAAAAAAATTAATAACAATAACAACAACAACCATAATAGTAATAAGAATAATAATCATGATAATAATAATCATCATAATAATAATCATAATAATCATAGTAATAATGATAATAATAATAATATAATAATAATAATAATACCAATATAATAATAATAATAATAATAATAATAATAATAATAATAATAATAATAATAATAATAATAATAATAATAATAATAATAATAATAATAATAATAATAATAATAATAATAATAATAATAATAATAATAATAATAATAATAATAATAATAATAATAATAATAATAATAATAATAATAATAATAATAATAATAATAATAATAATAATAATAATAATAATAATAATAATAATAATAATAATAATAATAATAATAATAATAATAATAATAATAATAATAATAATAATAATAATAATAATAATAATAATAATAATAATAATAATAATAATAATAATAATAATAATAATAATAATAATAATAATAATAATAATAATAATAATAATAATAATAATAATAATAATAATAATAATAATAATAATAATAATAATAATAATAATAATAATAATAATAATAATAATAATAATAATAATAATAATAATAATAATAATAATAATAATAATAATAATAATAATAATAATAATAATAATAATAATAATAATAATAATAATAATAATAATAATAATAATAATAATAATATAACAACAACAACAACAACAATAACAACAACAACAATAATATCAATAATAATAGTAATTATAATAATAATTACAATAACAACAAGAATAATAATAATAATTAAATAATAATAGTAATAATTGTTATTATTATTATAATAAAAGGGATAAATCATGTCTGAACTTTTCTGATCTGATCTGAATCTTTCTGATCTGATCTGAATGTTCCTGATCTGATCTGAACGCTCCTGATCTGATCTGAATGCTCCTGATCTGATCTGAATGATTCTGATCTGATCTGATCTGATCTGAATTTTTCTGATCTGATTTGATCTGAATAAAATAAGAATAAGCAATAAGTAATAAGATTAAAACGAACAGAACAACTTCTTAATATGCATGTAGGTTAACTTTATAATCCTACGAGCTTATTGGTGAGCATTTTACATGTAGAAATTGTCGATCTTCTCTATGTGTAATGATAGAAATATTCGTGAGCATTTTACATATGTATGAATGTTCACTCCCATATCAAACTTAACCGATCAAATCAGACCAGACTTAAACAGATCAGATCAGACTTGACTTTCGTAGTTATAAAATACACAAAGACCAGGCGTTTACCAGACCAGACTAGTTCAGACCAGATCAGACTTGAACAGACCAGACCAGACTTGACTTTCGTAGTTATAAAATACACAGAGACCAGACGTTTACCAGACCAAACCAAACTAGTTCAGACCAGACCAGATCAGACTTAAACAGATCAGATCAGACCATATCAGACTTAAACAGATCAGACCATCAAATTACAGTCCAAGTAAAAACATCTTTAGTGAGTATAGTAATTAATCTGGAGTCTTATGTAAGATCCGCGATAATTTTTATATTAATATAGATTATAGAGAGTTGTAGACTTGTAGTCCAAACCAGATTTAGACAAAGCGCATCAAACTTTGTCACTTGTAAAACACACATAAGCCAAACATTTAGCATACCAGATCAGATCGTAGTCTAAGTAAAAACATTCTAGATTATATAGTTATACAAGACAAATAATTAGAAGCAAGCGCAAATGAAACGATATTTTAAAGAAACTATTCTAAATATGAATAATAACATTTGTGAATTCCTAAACAAGACTATAATGTTTTTATTCCCCAAATAGAAGTGAATTTTA